GTGCGTGGGGTTGGCGGCGGCTCCGGGCCCCCCCCCGCCAGTCATGCCCCACTGGTACCCCCCACAGGCTCGGGAGGCACCAGTCGCCCGTGCTGTCTCTCTTACCCCAGGCAAAGCTTTTTAAACCTGACTTCTGATCAAACTTGAGCTAGACTCCCCCAAATACCCAATTGAAACTGTAATATTGTAACAGCTTTGTTTGTTTGTCTTTCCTTGTATGGCTATTACTACTAGTGTCATTATAAGTTTCATATACCTGGCAATAAAATAACTTTTATGGTCAAGTTGGTTGCCATACTCTCTCTGAACCTCATTTACTCTTCCTTCTCCTCAACCTCTCCATTTGCTCTGCAGCAACACTTCTTTTACCTAAGCCAAAGATCCCTGTAAAGCCACAAAATCCTGCGAGGTTTGCTCATCAAGGGAGTTACTACCAGGACAAGTGGGACAAGAGACTGGGAAGTGCATATGAGGATGTCAGCCTGTTAACACTGATTGACCTGGCCCGGCTCAGACTTGCTCTATTCCTGTGCTGAATCCGGGGCACATGAGGGTGTCAACTTGGTAATGCTGAGGAACCCTGCCCACTCAGATGTGCCCTGTTAATGTGTGTGTGTGTGCATGTGTGTTTTCAATCAATTCGGTGGCTGGAAGAACCCAGTCCCATTGAAACTAAACTCTGCAAGGTAGCTCCATTGGGGGATGAGGACTTGCAGAAGGGAGAGATCAGCTCCGTATAGAAACACAAGTGACACAAGCAGCACATTGACAGAATTACAGAGACCCCAGAAACATAACTCTAATAAATGAGCATACCCCAAAGGGACAGACAAATCTGGTAACACTGCTGACCCCTGTAGTACACTATTTTCCTCCTTATATGGTACAATATTTTAGGTAAGGACCTCTCAGGTTGATTTTTGTCTACTGCTTGGTTCACTGGCTGGCAGATGGAGGACTCTTCAGAGAACAGCACCTCCATTAGTGAGAAAATAGAATTTTATACCTTTCAGCTCAAGTTAAAGGGATGAAGAGAGCTTTCTGTACTGAGAATCTTTCTAACCTAAAAGATGACAAGTCAAATGTCAGAATTAGGTATGAAAAGGGGCAAGTTTATAGGTATAATTTTTGGGAGCACCTAAAAAGAGAGGCAGTCTATTGCCACCAATGTAGAACAAGGACAAATTGTGCTATCCTGAAATGCACTGGAAGATCCTAACAATCACAAATGCATCTCAGGTATCTACTTTGCTTTGTATTCCATTACAATATTACATTACAGCATAGTGTCACATTAAAATAAGGTGGAATAGGTAAGATTAATTATAATTGGGTGTGGTTAGTTCAGCACTTTCAAAAGTCAAACAAGTCCTAACAGTTAAGTCAGTCAGGAATACTTTACAAAAGCCAAGAATAAGATGAAGTCCTTGGAAAAGTATCCTGAAGATAAAGATTTGCTGCAGAGGGATTGTGCATCGGTGACACAGGTACCCAAGATAATTTTGCTTCAGAAAGTAACATTTAAGTCACCTTTGAATGTACGACTAAGATACGAGCTTTAGAAAATGGAGTAATGTGAATATACTGCATTTGCATGTAACTAATTCCTCCCTCATGGAGGAGTTGTGCGGAACACTTCGGTTAATTCTTGTAATGTGCTTTGAAACATGCTAAATGCAAGAAGTGCTAAGTATTAATATTGCCACAGAGATATTCTGTCCAAAATTTAATGGTAATGGAACAAGCTTTTTACAGAGAAAGAAATCTCTGGTATTAATGTTGAATGGAAGTAGGCTATTAACCTACAATGTTTCAACTGAAACTACAGTAACTGGGCAGAAGAGAAGCCCTGAAAATTAAGCAGAGCCAAACATCCATGGGCATCCTTGTTTACAGTCTTTTACAAGATAGATATGAAATCTAACATTCAGCATATTTTATCTTCATAAAGATATTAAGAAAAAATGTATCTCTCTCAAAAGACTTCTCCATCACATCATTATGAGACACTCCAGGGTCTCTCAGCTGTTCAGTGGATAGTTAATTCAATATTGTGAATCTGCAAGTCTAGCGAGCTGTAACAGAAGTTTTTGTATAACATTAAGTCTCCATTATGAGAGGTCTTATTTTCAATCCAAATGCTATTTAATTTTGTTTAAGCTATTACAATAATATAATATAACGGGTGTTACATTGTGCTTGAAGTAGTAAGGAAGGCTTAAATTTAATCGCCAAGTCATAATGTCTTCAGGATGTGCTGCCTACGTGCAGAGAGAATTTAGAGAGAAGCTGTGCCTTTCAGCCCCATGATTTAAAATATGGCTCTAGCCCTTCAAAATGGAAGGCATTTTGAGATCTACAGCCATTTCCTTCAAGCATCTAAATTACAACGGACATGTAATCTATTGATACATTTTTGCAAGTAAAAAAACCCAACAGATTTTAAGTTTCTCTCTCTGTATTCAAAATCAAGCGAGTCTGTGATCTGCCACGTCTGCCTTCTCAGAGTTCTTCTCAGAGTTTTTCAGGCAAACTATGTCAAAGCAAAAAGTAATTGCTTTTTATTGCTTTGTTTTTGTAAAAATGTCCACTGAAATCAAATGAATGTAGATGACTGACATATGACTGGAGACACTACTAGCAATTTTGAGACCTTTGGCACATATGCCTACTGTTGTAGAGCAGGGTACAGGACAGGACTGAGTGCCCTTCACTTTTCTTGGGCAGCCATTCTGGCACTCTCTTGTAAATTGACACCTGGGGCTGGTATGCAACTTGCTCTGCCCTATATATGCTAGTGCATACAACAGGAGTATAGCGTTTTATAGTATGGGCTTCTGAATGTGACGTAGGCCAGAGGAGTGTGGCTGGTTTCTTTCAAAATTCCCATGAATCAGCAAATTTATTAAAATTTTAGGACAACTAGAGTACACAATGCTAGACTTCAACATAACCACCATCCATCATGATACAATGCTCATTCCGATCTTCCAAGTCCTTGAAAATGTTTCCCAGTTGCTCAAGTTACTGCACTAATTGCATTCGTGATCCTAGCCCTAAGTTCCACCAAAGAACATGGTTTTGACAAGTAAACTATGTGGCAGAAATGCCCCGTCGGTGCCCCTCTCCAGAGATCTGTCTCAGCCAGCCTGAGAGGCTGCTGTTGAATCTCTCACAGCGGGGATCTCGCTCCTTGTCTGCAGACAAAAGCCTGGCGCCTGGGAGGCGATGCTCTGGTCACC